ATTTTTCGTACACCTCTTTTGATGAGTAAATTGGAGCTGTAGGTGAAGCATGCTAATCGGCTTCAATACACGAATGTAAGGAGCATACGTACCACATGTGGTCGCACTTATAAGTGGTAGTCACAAGGGAAAATTTCCTGTGTCCCTAATGCTTGTCGCTTTGGTCGCGCTTCATTCAGCAAGTGAGCGAACGGTTAAAACCGGGGCTAAGGAAGGGCCGACGTACACTCCTTATTTTTGCAAGTGCAGGGCACCATTGTTCTTTATTAACGTTGACAAGACAGATATAAGCAATTCTAAAGAAAAGTTGTCAACAGACCTACCCGCTTCAGTGCTAAATCTAATGGCATCGTATGCATGTCGATGCATTTGCGAAAACATGTTAATACTGCTGATTGTGACAGAGAATAGTAATGCGCTTTATTATCACCAGAAATTCATTTATCCCTATAGGCTTTAACGTGACCGCGGTGAAGAGTTTGTTTCTCAGATAGCATGGTTGCAGAAATTCGCAGAAATTTTATCGCAATAAAAAATTATTATGTTGTGCGTGACCGAAAAATTTAGAAAGGTGCAAGTAAATAAAAACTTCTGTGTCTGAGTGAGCATTAAACTCGGGTCATTTACATGGCAAGCAAGTATTACATCATAGAGCCACGAATCTACTTTTCTTTTTATTGCAGAAGTTTGCCCTACGGCATCAATACATATTAGACAAAATTATGGAGCTTCGTTTCCTCCATAAAATCAAGGGGGGACCTATGGTTTGGACCGTAAATTCATTGCTGCAAGTCAGATTTCTTGTTGTGTTGGAGCCTTGAACGCCACAGATGGCGTCGATGAGCCACGGATCTATTTGGAAATACAGTGAAGATAACTTCCTCTAATTGGAAACGCAGTGAAATCAACTTGCACGCTTTCCAAACGCACCCGTCTTGTATACATGCATGCTTCACAATGCAACACGTAATACCGCAGTAATAATGCGGGGTAGAAGCGCACATTGCGATCGGGCGTCAGAGCACGCTATTGTCATAAGTTCCTACGTGGGTTAAAGTGGGCCACTCACTACAAAAGGCACCAACTTTACTGCGCTTTTTTTTTTCTAAGGACACGCGTAGTGGGTGCATAGTACGTGCGTTCTAAAAGATTTCACGCGCACAATATCCCTTGGTTCGAAGCAAGCTACCCATTACACAGAATGCAGCTCTATGTGAAAACTCAACTGAAACAAGACATTTTGAACTTAGTACGCACTATAGGGACAGCATATCGCTATCGCGTCCAACTCTTAAGGATCCGCCATTTTTTTCATTCCTTATAAAAATAAAAAACAGCTCTTATGCCTAGTTCACACTGAAACATCCGCTTTTTACAGCGACCGAAATTCGCCTGCCACCGAAACGCAGCGTCGTTCGCACTGGACGCGCCCCGCGCCGCCGAATATGCCATCTACGACGGGGCGAACGAGGGATGGATGCGCTGTCACCCGGTTGTTGTCGCGGCTCGCAAACGCTACTACGATATCCGGTTGTGTATACTTCGACGATTCTCGTACGCAAGAAGCAAGAAAAGACAGTACTGCTTACTTTGCTGGCAAGTGGCTGTCTTGTAATGCACGAAGAGCAGAAAAACCACCGACGCCAGCGGCGTTGGTGGGTTTGTTTTGCTCTGCAAGACCGCAACAAGCTCGGTCACGCCAACAGCAAGCTCGGTCACCTCTTTCACGAAATACGGAGGCGAAGTAGGCACAGAGTAGGTTAAACTCCCGTTGGTTTCAACATTCAGTTACGTGGACTGCGGCATAACAAGTAAGTAGGGCTTGGCTGCCATTTTTCAAAATTCCTTGACTAGCGCTCCTATTGGTCCGCGGTCACCGATTCGGCGGCAGACGCCGCGAAAATCGGTCCGAGAGCGATCGGCGCGGAGAGGGCCGTTTCGGCGGATCTCGCCGCCGCCCAACCGGATTCGGAGCACTTTCGGCGGCCGGAATGCTCAGTCTGAACGCGGCTTAAGGTTTTCGCCAGGAACAGGTCACTTATGTCAAGCAAGTTTATATTTCATTGCATGTAAATGGCAACAAATTTGTACACGGCTAAATTTTGTACATGGCAACAACGTTGTACACGGCAACAAGTGCAAACTTTTGCCCAAGCCAAATACTTGACCCACAAAGTCAGGGAGGCAGACGCATTCCACCACATGTATACGTACCCTGTCAATTTTCGTGAAAGGAAACACGCGATGCGCGGCCTGCGAACTCCGGTGGTAGGCGGTATTAGGCGGTATAGTTATGCTATACACCTTTAAGCAGCAGAGTTGCGCATAACTTTTCTTTGCACCGCTCGCGCCGCTATTCGGTGAGTGCTGTCACGTGTTGCAAAGTGACGTAAAATGTTCAAATTTCATGCGGCGAAGCTAACTTTAATTGCACGATTTTAACTTTGATTGCACAACTTTAACTGCACACGCTGACTATTTTCCGTCTGTACCATCACGTGCGCTCGCGCGTCGAGTGGCCGCTTTGTTTATCAGTTCCATAACTTGGCGACGTGTTCGAAAGTACGTAGTATTTACAGTTGTGCGCAACTAAGGCTGGGTGTAGTGCACCTACTTCCGGCAGCTATTCGTCATCCTTACTATTTATACCACCGTAAAAATAAAGTTTCATTGAAAAGCTCTTAGATAGATATGTAGGGTTTAACGTCCCAAAACCACCATATGATTATGAGAGACGCCGTAGTAGAGGGCTCCGGAAATTTCGACCACCTGGGGTTCTTTAACGTGCACCCAAATCTGAGCACACGGGCCTACACCATTTCCGCCTCCATCGGAAATGCAGCCGCCGCAGCCGGGATTTGAACCCGCGACCTGCGGGTCAGTAGCCGAGTACCAGCATGAATTTAGAATTTCAATTCACAGGGTTCCTTATTGCGTGCTAAGATGACTTCACGGCGAAATACAGCATGCATTACCACGAAGATTCGCTGTGGTGTTGGTCACGTTCTCAATTCACTTGTTGCATTCTTGATTCGTCTTTAATTAACTTGGGTTTATATTATGCACTAAGCTGTAATGCATTGTTTTCTTAATTATTTTATTCTTGTTCATCTCTTTAATTTGAATCTTAGCTATATAATTCATTTGGTAACATTTTAATGCACTTAGGCGTGCTTTAATTGTTATTTGGTGTATTGTATTGCGCAAGCTGATTATTGGCAGCACTCGTGTTGTCGCCCAAACATGGTCTCATCGTATTTCGAAATGTGTAAGAGGCTTTCGCCTTGACAATTAAAATGCGGGCTGCGGAAAATGCGCGGTTCACGTGGACATTTGAAATGAGTTTAAAGCTAATTTTCTGCGCCTCTTTTTCGAACAGTGAAGCAGTTGTGAAGGATGGTTAGTGACGAATGACAGATAGCCAGTGGTCGCCAGCGTAACCGCACGCGCAATGGTACTTTGTCGACGGCCGCTGATCAGATGACATCTGCGGCCCAATTGCATTCTGATTGTTGACCATCTAAAGCGTGAATTTCCTTTAGACGCCCTTCAAGACTACGATTTCTTGGCTTCCGGCCAAGAGAGAAAAGGCCGTGCATGCTGAAAGTAATCACACCACTTTTCTATGCAAATCACTGTGCAGGAAAACGAACATTTGAGCTGTTTGATCGTAGTATGCATCCGAAAGCTGCGATGACGGACTCTGTCCACCGCTGCAGAACTGGTGTCCATCGCGTCGTTTTGTTCGTGGACGCTATTCGTTAGAACCTATTGCAATATGCAGCTTCACTGCAAAAGTGCCATTTTGCTCAGCGCGTGCGAATAAGTCCGCGGCACGTCACCTACACCGGAAAATCGCGCCACGTTTGTCTCGTTCGCGCGACGAGTGGCTTTGCCGCACAGCCGTTGAACATAATGGTGAACATATGCGCAACTATGATCCCGTATAGGGACTATATTAAGAGACCACCGAATTTTTTCGCCATGGCGTACAGACCCCAAAATGACCCTCGGCCACAACTGCCTACCAAAAAAATTCTGCCTACGCTCCTGGCGGGAGGCGCGAAGTTGAATTAGACATCCAGCTATTAATCTGCAAAAGGGCGAGATAGCTTTCTCACAACGACGCGTGGAATAACAGGGCTGAGCGTTTGCATTTTTAATTTTTTTATGTCAATTTCTTTGGTTTTATCTGGTCTGTGTTATAAATATGATTTTCCCGAATGAAGAAAAGTTACAAGTAGCGCGTGGTTCTGTGTCCCTCTTTTCTTGTGTGTAGTATTAGTCATACACTAGCTAGGATAGATACTGTTGATACTCTTGGACACAAGCATAAAATACTTTTGCGGAGAAGAAGCCCGTGACCATAAATAGAAGATGTTACCGGTTGAATGCCCCGCCGCGGTGGTCTAGTGGTTAAGGTACTCGGCTGCTGACCCGAAGGTCGCGGGTTCAAATCCCGGCTGCGGCGGCTGCATTTCGGATGGAGGCGGAAATGTCGTAGGCCCGTGTGCTCAGATTTGGGTGCACGTTAAAGAACCCCAGGTGGTCAAAATTTCCGGAGTCCTCCACTACGGCGTCTCTCATAATCATATGGTGGTTTTGGGACGTTAAACCCCACAAATCAATCAATCAATCAATCAATCAATCAATCAACCGGTTGAATGAGTGAGTTCTGGCAATCGTCATTGTATGTTCCCATTACGTAATAATTTCCGTGTATCACTGCCACACGCGCTGCAATTGCAAGATTAACGACGTTTTCAGCTGTAGGCTCAGAGAAGTGGAAAGCAAGGGGAAAATAACGTTCGAAAGGGAAACAAGAGGCAGCTGTTACAAAATGATGTTTATGGTCTCTCGCAGAAGACCCATGTCTGACCCCCATAATAGCCTTTGTCCATTCAGGGCAAAGTGTACAGCTAAGATGTTCCGCTTACATAAAGACGGTGAAATACATCATCTCTGTTTCGAGAAAACAAGCAACAAACTTAGGAAACTTAGACTTCGAGACCGTCTGGCATAGCCTTTGTCCCGACTTGAGAGACACCGCTACACTCGACACAAAGCCATCGGACCGGAATTGGGCCTGGTGTAGCCACCGGACTACTGCCTCGTCGTGAACACCACGAAGGTGCTTAGGACCTTTGAGGAACCCTTCGACACTTAGGGCAGTGACTTACGCTAAGCGAGTATGCGCACGCCGGTGGTGGTTTACCTCCTCTCGACTGTTGCCTTCGCGGTGTCCGAGGATGCCTGGCGCTACATGATCCCGGACGAGACGGACGCATTTTCCGACAAGATGATCCAGTACATAAACTACCTCAACACTACGTGGAAGGTAAGATCCGCTTAAACAGCGTAGCTTGCGCAGTTTGACCTCCCACAGCACAATCGCTTAGAAAAATGATTTGTGCTTTACTCATTATTGTCTTCTCAATTACTGGGGACGCAATTGTACAAAGACAGCCAAAGAGCAAGAAAGAAATAATTGAAAAGAAAAATAAACACGGAGAAGTGGTGCGCAGAAGCCGGCTTGGATGTTACCAAAAAGTTCAATATCTTGTTTACTACAGTGCCCTGAGTTTAACGTGCAAAAGCAAAAATAAAAAGACAAATCGTTATTTGCGACAAATTTAGGTAACTAAAGAATACGTGTACATAGGCTGAAATAGAAGCTAGTACAAATACCTTAGCCAACATTGTTAAGTTTGAATGGATTTTAAGCCCTATTAGGATGGGCACCACTGAGTGATTATTTTTTTCCCGTTACCGTCTTTGCCATTTTTTAACGCACGAACACGCACACTTTTTAGATGCGGAGCATCTTATACTCGCGCCTTGTAGTGCGCCGTCCGCGCCGTCCGCACCGCTTCTCGAACATTCGACAGCTGACGCGCGCGCATGCGCCGTCGCGCCGTCGCCCACTCTTCCACCATCTGTGCATCCCTTCCTCCTCTACACACCGCGCGCGCTTCACTCCTCCACCATCTGTGCACCCTTCCTCCTCTACACACCGCGTTCGACATCTACAATTCTCCTGATTCTCCAGTGGACGCGCATGTGGCGTCGCGCTTCGAGAACATTCAACAGCTGACAGTGCATGCGCCGTCGTGCTGTATATATACTCAAGGTCGGCGCTCGCTCGCTCAGTTGCCGCTCGTCGGTTGGTTTGTACGGCGCGTCGACGTCCAAGGTCGCGGTGAAATGAATTCCAACGAATCCACAAACACAATGATCGACGTCCCTTCGACCAGCGCCGCCCTTTCGCATACGTGTGTACGTGTTCACTCATTTAACACCCCCTCCTACAACCACGTTAACCAATTTAGCCATCGACCCAAGTAAGTCGCAATTTAACACCCCATTTCACAACCACGTTAACCAATTTAGCCATCGACTTAAGTAAGTCGCACTTTAACACCCCGTTAACCAATTATATGGTCCGCATCCTCCTCAGTGTTCCCCCGAGGGAAGCTGCGGGCAATTTTTTGACAAATCTCTTTCTCCCTCTACCTGCCTTTGGATGTAGGCTGGCCGCAATCCTGGCTTCGAAGATCCCGCATACGTGTGTAGGCTTCTTGGAGTACACCCGGAGAACCAGAGGTACCGGCTTCCCGAACGGAGGCTGCACCTCAGTTCTCTCGGTCCCTTGCCGGAGAACTTCGATTCTCGAGAAAACTGGCCCGAGTGCACCACCATTGGTGAGATTCGGGACCAAGGTTCCTGTGGGTCATGCTGGGTCAGTACTCTTCGGTGCACGTTTAGCCTGCCATTTACTGCACCTGCCTCTTTTCCCAAGGAACGTAGCACGTATCTGCACATTGCAAAGACTAGGCTAATATATGATGGTTTCGCCGGAGATTTTATTCCGGTGAAAACAGCATATAGGTCTGCTCTTTACGGTGCAATTGCGGAGTTTACGGTGCAACTTCTTTAGAATGTCTTTGGCCTTGAAGCTGGGTATCCATGAGTGTTGTCATAGCAACAGACACTCGCAGGGTTGGTTTCTTCTCTCCCTTGGACGAATAGTTAAGCGTATAGACTCCCTTGCCAGCCTTTCATGTTTTCGCTGCTGCCTAACCTCTGCTGTCTAACCGAAGTTTGTACTTTATAAATAAATAAATAAATAAATAAATAAATAAATAAATAAATAAATAAATAAATAAATAAATAAAATATGAAATAATAATAATAATGAAGAAATGCAGCAGAGCTAATGCGACAGTACCTAACCACTGTCACACAATATTCCATACGGAGGCGCATTCTTCCGTTCACCTGCAGTCTGCCCTTCCGTACTATAGTTTCTAGCTTCCAGCCTATATATATATATATATATATATATATATATATATATATATATATATATATATATATATATATATATATATATAGAATGAGCTTGCAGATAGCACATTAGAAAAGGAAATCGTATTTACTAACGTTTCGGCCGTGGCACGGCCTTCGTCAGAGTAAGTAGGTATGATATAATGCAGCCGCTTTTATAGGCTCACGTGATGAACTCTCGGTATAGCAGCTAGGACAATCAAAGTAAAAAAAAAATGGTAATCTGTCAGAACCTTGTGTTGACATGACTGACATGTGACGGGTGCATGAATATACAAGTTTCAAATTTCCTTGCGCATCGACATGCGGGGCACAGTATGGTTGGCAGGACATGTAAAAGAGCTCTGAAGTAAAGAAACCACGGTTGACTAATATACATTTTAATATACACTAAAATATTTTACTAATCTAAGAAGTCGTGTTGTTATAGTGCGAGGCAGGTGAGCTTTCCTACGTTTTCATTGATACCTGAACGAATGGTGTTAAATTTGTGAATCAAGAAGGATTCCCTCACTTCCCTATCGTGGTTTGTCTTGAAACCGGATTGAATAATAGTGGCCCTAATTTTGTCGAAACCATGGCCAGGCATACTGACGTGCTTCGACAGCGGTAGATTAGGGAGGCTTACGGCATGTGCACGGTGATTATTAAAACGAATTCTGAAACTTGTCTCTGTTTGACCTATGTACTGAGCTCCGCATGTTGAACACTCGAGAAGATAGATGACGTTGATACTATCACTCGTGTAGTTCCCATCCCGGTAGACCGATAATTTCTGGAATTGGAACAGTGACTGAGAACCTTTCCCGTTATGTAGATGGCCTCATCAACACCATTCCGTCCCGCTTTTCTTCTTACATTAAAGATACCAATCACTTTCTATCAGATATTGTTTACCTACAGGTTCCTCAAAATTCGTTTCTCGTTACGTTAGATGTCACGTCACTGTATACTAATATCCCTCACTCAGATGGCATCGAGGCAGTTATCTGCGCGTACAACGATTGCGACGCCAACAAACCAGTTTCCGCATCTACGTTAGCTAAGTTGCTTAAGCTCATTCTTGAACTTAACAATTTCGAATTTGATGGGACACATTATGTTCAAGTTAGCGGTACATCTATGGGCACAAGAATCGGACCAAACTACGCAAACATATTTATGGGGCTCCTTGAAAACAAATTTCTTGCAAATTGTGAATATAAGCCATTTTACTATAAGCGGTTCATCGATGACATTTTCCTAATTTGGCACCATAGTGAATCGCAACTTCTTTCTTTCATAGCAGATCTTAACAACGCTCATCCGGTGATTTCTTTTTCGCACTCATATTCACCTGTGAACATAAGCTTCCTTGATGTCATGGTCACTCTACGTAACGGGAAGCTGATAACTAATTTTTACAGAAAACCCACGGATAGGCAGCAATATCTTCACTTTAGTAGTAGTCACGTGAAACACAACAAAACTAGTATTCCCTACAGCCAAGCAGTCCGTTTTAAAAGAATATGCTCTGATAGCAGCGAATTTTCCCGCCACTGCGAACAACTTCGGAGCGCGCTCGAAAAACAGAGCTATCCGGTCAGCATAATCACAGACGCCATCAAACGTGCAGAAGAGCTCGACCGTTTAGACCTGCTGAGTACTAACAAAAGACCCAAAGATTGTTCTCGGACTAATCTAATTTTGACACATGCGGCCTCAGCTCCAAATGTGAACCATATCTTAAAGAAACATTTCAACATTTTAATACAGAGCGAGCGCCTCAAAGGAATCTTTACAGAACAACCACGCGTGGTCTACCGGCGGTCGCGGAACCTTCGTGATTTACTAACCTCATCTAAAACCACGTGTTCACAACATGAAGGCTGTCATCCCTGCAACAAACCACGTTGCAAAATGTGCGCGCACATGACGACATCTAAAACAGTTTTAAGTACATCGTCCAGTTTTTCTTTAAAGATAAATGGGAACTACACGTGTGATAGTATCAACGTCATCTATCTTCTCGAGTGTTCAACATGCGGAGCTCAGTACGTAGGTCAAACAGAGACAAGTTTCAGAATTCGTTTTAATAATCACCGTGCACATGCCGTAAGCCTCCCTAATCTACCGCTGTCGAAGCACGTCAGTATGCCTGGCCATGGTTTCGACAAAATTAGGGCCACTATTATTCAGTCCGGTTTCAAGACAAACCACGATAGGGAAGTGAGGGAATCCTTCTTGATTCACAAATTTAACACCATTCGTTCAGGTATCAATGAAAACGTAGGAAAGCTCACCTGCCTCGCACTATAACAACACGACTTCTTAGATTAGTAAAATATTTTAGTGTATATTAAAATGTATATTAGTCAACCGTGGTTTCTTTACTTCAGAGCTCTTTTACATGTCCTGCCAACCATACTGTGCCCCGCATGTCGATGCGCAAGGAAATTTGAAACTTGTATATTCATGCACCCGTCACATGTCAGTCATGCCAACACAAGGTTCTGACAGATTACCATTTTTTTTACTTTGATTGTCCTAGCTGCTATACTGAGAGTTCATCACGTGAGCCTATAAAAGCGGCTGCATTATATCATACCTACTTACTCTGACGAAGGCCGTGCCACGGCCGAAACGTTAGTAAATACGATTTCCTTTTCTAATGTGCTATCTGCAAGTTCATTCAATATAGAAAATACCCGGATCTGTCGTGCCTTCCCTTCAAGTTCTATATATATATATATATATATATATATATATATATATATATATATATATATATATATATATATATATATATATATATATATATATATATATATATATATATATATATATATATATACGCGCATGCAGTCAGTCCATAGTAAAAGTAAGAACTGCAACCCAGTTTGCTTATGTCATCGCGCTTCCTTACATCCTCGTATCTTATGTCATATCGTTTATCGTATCTTATATTGTATTCGGATAGGCTTCAGTATGATTCAGATGAAGACCAAGGAGACCCGCAGAACACAAAGGAGCGCTATGTGTTTCCTTCGGTGTGTTCTGTGTGTCTCTTTGGTCGTCGTCTAAATCGCGCTGAAGCTTCTTCGAGTGTGTACCAACACGCCCAAGTTAATATATTGTATCATCGTATCTCATATACTCATTATATCATCTCGTATCTCATTATATCATCGTAACTTCATGTATAGAGAACACTGACTGACGCAAATGTCGAACACTTCAAGGAAAAGAAAATGACTGATTAGCTGTCGCTCTTTAGTGAGTCCTGGCTTGTTTTGAGTGTTATATAACTCTCTTTAAAAAAAACACACATTTTAACTCTCTTTCCCAGAGAGAAAGAGATGAAACATTTATTACTGCTTCCTATCGGTAACTACAATGATCTGGAGCCTGAACAGACACGAAATATAGGCACAAATGTGGCTGGCTCTTTTGTAAGCTGCAACTAACAAAAGAAAAGGAAAGAGAAAAAGAAACGAGTAGTGAATGTCTTATATACTTGACAGCCACGAATTTATAAGCCTTACAGGGAGACGATCTACACGTCTATCCGCAACATGTGCGCATATTCGATCGAGCACGTGTAGTGACGATGCTCTCGCATGATATTTTGTATCGCGGTTGGTGCTGCTGTTTGAGATGAGGAGAAGCCATCGTGGGAGCTAATGATTTTTCCACGCTTGCCTTGGACGACAAGCTAGCCATGTGCCAACGGCAAAGTCAATATGAGGGAGCTTGAGGAGGTATCACAGCCTAGATCAATAACAGTGGAGGACGGCTAATCATATCGCTACGCCTGGTTTGCTAGCCTACGTTGAGGTAGAAAAGAATGGATGATAAAGTAGGAATAGATAGATAGATAGATAGATAGATAGATAGATAGATAGATAGATAGATAGATAGATCTAACAGACAATAATGCCAAGGAAAATATAGGGGAAGTTATTAGACCGAACTGTAATGTAAATATGAAGAAGGAAAAGTGGGTGGAAAGTTAACTTGCCGTGGGCAGGAACCGAACCTGCGACCTTCGAATAACAGTGTACCACTCTCGCCGCGATGACTACAGATGACACTGACTGACACTCCCGCGCTTGAAATCACATATAAAGCCAATAAAGTTGCTGGGAGGATGGACGCCATGGTAGCTCAGTGGTAGGGCATCGAACGCATTATTCGAAGGTCGCAGGTTCGGTTCCTGACCATGGCAAGTTCTCTTTTCATCTGTGTTCATATTTATATTTCTATTCGGTCTAATAACTTCCCCTATACTTTCCTTATATATATATATATATATATATATATATATATATATATATATATATATATATATATATATATATATATATATATATATATATATATATATATATATATATATATATAACGCTTCATAACGAAAGCAACAGAATACAAATCAAGAAGGGTGTAAGGCAGGGCATACAATCTCCCCAATGCTTTTTACCGCGTGCTTACAGAAGGTTTTCAGAGGCCTAGAATGGGAACAGTTAGGGATAAAAGTTAATG